GCACGCAGCCCTGACATAGTGGGTGGTGGCTGAGGAACAAAAATGGTAATGGCTTGTGAAGGTGGGCTGAAGAGGAAGTTGGTGGTTGAGAAGAAGTTGATGGATTGTAACACATCGCCCTGTAGGGCTCGAGGTAGTTACTTTCCAGACCTCTAGAGTTGTCCCCACAAACCGCCTCCAGCCTTTTCCGACAATTTTCCGTGCAAGCATGCTTAACTTTGGAGTTCTTACCCGATGAGCTCCCTTAAAAAGAGATGCACTTTCTTGGTATGAGTAGTATTATTAATCATGTTAAATTAATCTCGAATATTACAATCACCCCCTCTTAGGATCACAACGTCCTCATTGGGCCCATAAGACAATTCAATCTACCCATATCACAGAATCTTTCCCCACTAAGTGCTCGCCCAATATCCACTGGATCAGCACACTGTCGCAGGTTTTGCTCTGATACCACCTATAACACCCCGCCCGTAGGGTTCAAGGTATGTAGATACTTTCCAGACCTCTAGCACTGTCCCAAAAAACCGCTATCAGCTTTTTCCGCACACTTTGTACTCACTCGTGCACGCCCTGAGAACCTTTCCAGGGGGTCTACCCATCCGAAGACTACTCCCGTGCAAACACGCTTAACTTTGGAGTTCTTAACTGATGAGCTCCCTTAAAAGGAGATGCACCTTGTTGGTATGAGTAGTACTATTAATCTTGTTAAATTAATCTTGAATATAACATGGATTGTGATGGGATGATGGATTAAGGTTGCTTTCTCACAAGTGTAAGGCCTCTTCTTCCCCTCATGATGATTTGAATCATCAGCGTCATCATGCTTACGCTTAGGTTGTCGTTTTTAATCCTTGCAAGTGAGTGAGGTTGCTTATGGGGCATGGGTTAGGATGTCACAGACGGTTATGAGGTGAGGCGGAAGGTCGGGTTTGCATAAGAGGCAATTGAGGAGGAATTCAGAAAGGTCTTGAATTGGCATGGTAAAAGGATCAGATTAAGAGGTTGATGGTAGAGATATGATATTGGTTGGTTGGGTACAAATAAGTGTGGTAAGAATGCGAAGTGGAAGGGTAAGGGTAGCGGAAAGTGTATGTGTTTGGTCTAAAGGTCGGGTAATGGGTAGGGTATATATTTGGGTATCTGGTTGGGTGGTGGGATTGAGGTATGATATTTTGTCTGGTACGAGTATTGGGATTACTAATCGTACTTCATCTAGAATGGATAGACGAAAGGGTGCTAGAGCATACGAAATCTCAGACCTTAGATCCTCCCTAGTAATAAAAGCTAAGCGTGAGAAGAAAGATCATATCTAAATGAAGTATCTATTGTGACAACATTAGTGAAAATCACTGATCCAAGGCCTGATAGGGAGAAAAAAAAGACGTGTGGCAGGACTTCCAACCATCCTAGGTGAACTCCCAGTTGTTGGGACTGGTAATGCAGAACCAGTATCTAACAGTGATAAAGGTAATGTCCTAAAAATTGAAAAACATCTAGGAGGGTGGACACAAGGCCTAATGTGCATAAGTCAATGGTGTGGGGCTAGTTATGCTTGTAATGGTTTCCCCGTGGTTTAATGAAATAACCATCTATTGAGAGACAGTTGAGTGGTCAAGGTTGGGCTAAATTTGCGCCATTGAACTCACAGTGGTGTCTTCTACTCAGGAACTGACAAGGTCAGATCTTGTACCTAAGGACAAAGTTCCGGTTATTCTACTGACGGGGGGTGTCATAATGATGTCAAAGGAAGAGACACCAGTTCGTTTGGACTGAGTATCACTTGCACTCTTCTTCTACTTTGATGCTCTCGGACCCTTACCGGCACTCGATTGAGTTCCTGGGGTAGACACAGTGGGGATTGACTGCGTCATAGGTACAAAAGAAATTTGTACCTTATAGGCGATGCCGACTGGACTTGTGGATTCGGCCATGTTGAAAAGTACAATAGGAATTGACATTGGCTTCGTGGATGGACCATTTTTAAATTTCTTCAAGTAGAGCGGCTTTGGGATCACATAGAACTCTATTTCTGGTCGGACATGAATCGTAGAGAATTCATTCATGAAGATGTTGATTAGCATGGAGAACCCGTGTACATATGAAATGTACATAGCCTTCTTTGTTGGATCCTTAACAACAATTTGTTCAATGATCTCCGCCCAGATAAGTTGTGCATAATCGTAGTTCTTTCCAAACATAACTCCATGTACCATCTGTAGCATGTGTATGTTGCAACAATCATGGCCTGACTGTTTAGGAGATGCACACTTATTGAATATGGCAAAGAGTGATGTCCATGACAGAGGTATGCAGTTGGATATGAAATGGGTAAGGAGGGTAAGCTAAGGGGTGGAAGGTGTGTTGTCCCATACGGAGCATGTACAGGAGAAAATCTTTATCGGTGGGTAATGGGTCCATATGTGGTAGAGGTGGAAAGGTGAAGAATGGTTTTGATGGTTGAGTGGGTTATCTGGATAGTGGTGCTAGCTATGGTGGCTTGTAAGGTTGGGGTTGGTGCATTGGACACAAAGTTCACCGTTACCCCAACATTGTCTGAGATAGATCTTGGGAACTTGTGTTGAAAGATTGAAAGTTGGCGAGAGTGTATGCCCTTTCAGAATGAAAACCATGATAAGATCTTGACATTTGAACACTACTGGGTCTAATTGAAAATTGTTGTATTTGATATCAATCCATCTCTCCTATGGGTGAAGTGGTGAACCTCTTCTTCAGGTAAAAGATCCATGTTTGCCTGTACTGCAAAGAATAATCAGAGAGTGAGTTAAGGTGGTTTTGTATTAAAAATATTATTTGTCCAAGTTGATTGTCATTGACAAAGAAAAATCAATTCTACGAACGTTTTCATGACAGAGGGAGTATATAAATAGAACATATAGCATTTTTGGAGGAAAAAACCATTTGTACACATAATTTGCACACATTTATTGTACATTCCCCTAGTTGCTTGTACATAGGCAATTCATTAAGAAACTCATGTGTGCACAAACAATTAGCCATTGTGTACAACAAATGTGTACAAATTATTGCAACTCTTTTTAGAGTCTTAATTTCTGAAATGTGTGACCTTTGCAGAGCTTATGAAGAAACGTAGTTGCACTTATTTTGTACTTGTGATGTGACTCGTAAGGTCTGGGGTGTATTGTCCTGGCGCTGGATTGGAAAAGGGCACTTCATTTTTGGACCATATTAATTTGGAGTTTCGATCAAAACGTAGGATGTGATTGAGAAAATGATTTGGGGGTGTTGGGCACTAAGGTGCGAGAGGAATCATAGAGTCTGGCATGGAACTTTCTCGTTGCCACAATAGCTTGTCCACCGGGCTGAAGCTTTTGTGACTGGATGGAAGGAAGTGCAGAGGGCTCGGAATGGTAAGAGGCAGCAGGTTCGCAGGCTGCATCTGGGTGGAATCGTTCGGCTCCGGGGAAGATCAAGTTAAATGTGGATGCGGCGGTCCGGCCGGAAAGCTGCGGACTCGGGTGGTGTTTATGAGATGAGAGAGGTTTGTTCGTGGCCGGTGAGGCACGACCTTGGCAGGGCTGTTCTTCTCCGTTAGAGGTCGAGTTAATTGGGATCATGGAGGCTCTTAGTTGGCTCCAGAATAAGGGGTGGTCGGAAATTGAGGTCGAGGCTGATGTGTCCCATGCTATTTCTGAGGTTGTCAGGGGTGATAGCTACTCTACGGTGGGTCTTTTAGATGATGATATTAGAGACTTGATGAAACTTTTTCTAGCATTTTCTTTAGTCACATTAAACGGTCAGCGAACAAGACAACCCACTCTTTGCGAAGAAAAAATTCTAGACCTGGGATCGGTTCGGTTCTTGTTAAAATTTGATGGAACCGTATTAAAATTCATAGGCGTTAAATTCAGTTCGGTTCTAGTTAAAATGTAGTTGTTAAATTCGGTTCGGTTCTAATTAAATTCGGTTCGGTTGTTACCTTTTTTCGGTTCCTTATAAAAATTTATTATCCTACTAAAATGAATACATTTTCCCTCCAGTTACATAAAAAAATTGAAATTTCAAACATAACAAAAACATACAGGATTAAAACACGCATGAATTGTCAAGCAAAAAGGTTTAACAACTCCAAGGTACAATTCAATAGCAGGTAGTTTCAACCCCAAAATAATACAGAGCAATTTTCTACTAATAATACACCATAAGTATAAAGTACATTGTAATAAACTGATTGTTAATATTTATAATTTATTATGAACAAATAACAATGTAATCAGGAGTATTAATTCCTTTTTTGGTGAACTCAAATAACAAATACAATTACAAACAAACAATAAATATACTTCCTCAAAAAAAAGTGTACTAAACTAGTAAAAAATAATTACTCGGATTGACCTTGTCCACAATATATAAGGTATATTATGCAAGACAAATATTTTTGACAAGAATTTTCTGTCCGAATCGCCAATTGGCCAACTCATCTTGAGGTGCTTCTGAGTAGAATTTTTTGATGATATTTTGTGAGCATATTCTACTTGAAGTGTAGATTATACTCACTAAATTACAGCTTAAAGTTCAACCGGGAAGTGAGTTAAATAAAATATTGAAAAACATTGCGTGTTTACATGTATTTCGACGTAGTAATTTTCAATAATTTATTTAACTGACTTCCTGATTGAATTTCAAGCTCACATTTGGTGGACATAATCTACACTTCATGAAAAACAAGCTCACAAAATTTCATCAAAAAATGAAGATTATGCATGCAATTTATAAGAAGATTATGCATGCAATTTATAAGAAGTTCGGTTCCAGTCTAGGAACCGGAACCGAACTGGAACCGAACCGATTAAATACTATAGGAACCGAACCGAACAAACCTGAAGTCCAAAATCATAGGAACCGAATAGGAAAATTCAGTTCGGTTTTCCCGATTTTACGGTTTTAAGTCCCGGGCCTAAAAAAATTCCACTATTCACAACTTGATGGTCCACCAGTCCACCACCGTACCCTCATATCTGGGGATCCGGGAGTTAAGTTAAGTGAAACACTCGTACTTACTCTGTCTTTCATACGGAGTAGTTTCATTTCGTGCACTCGCTTAGATACACCTCCACCCAAGGAAGGATGCAGTACAAGAATCTGGGGAGATCCGGCCTGAAAGTTTCCCAGCTCTCCTTTGGGGCGTGGGTAACCTTCGGCAACCAGATCGACGTCAAGGAGGCCAAGTCCCTCCTCCAGTGCTGCCGCGACAACGGCGTCAATTTCTTCGACAACGCCGAGGTCTACGCCAATGGCCGCGCAGAGGAGATCATGGGACAGGCCATCCGGGAGCTAGGCTGGAAGCGCTCCGACGTCGTCATCTCCACCAAGATCTTCTGGGGCGGGTCGGGCCCGAACGACAAAGGGTTGTCCCGGAAGCACATTGTTGAGGGAACCAAGGCGTCCCTCAAGAGGCTGGACATGGATTATGTGGACGTGATCTACTGCCACCGCCCGGACGCGAGCACGCCGATTGAGGAGACTGTTAGGGCTATGAACTATGTGATTGATAAGGGGTGGGCTTTTTACTGGGGAACTAGCGAGTGGTCCGCTCAGCAGATCACTGAGGCTTGGGGGGTGGCTCAAAGATTGGATCTTGTTGGACCCATTGTTGAGCAGCCTGAGTATAATCTCCTCTCTCGCCACAAGGTATTTGTCTTTTGCTTATCTACTATCTATCTAAGCCTTTTATAATTAAATTACAAAATAATCTTGATTTACCTTTCTGAACTGCTTTTGACAGTTTATGTGCTTTAGTTTTGTTGCATTCTTTTTCACTTGTGTCTGATTTTGCTGGCTGGAATGTAATAGTTATTGCATAGGCTCCACGGCTCGGATGAATATATTGAACCCTTTTTGTATTAAATGAGCTGGTTTGAATGCAATAAGTTTGTCAATTGATTGTCAATCATACAAGTCTTTTTTTTGCTGGATTTTGTCTACTGACTGCTCCACTGTTATACTTACCTCTGAGAATGTGAGTTTCTTGGTCTTTGTCACTTGTATTGAGATTGGAATGGGTTGAGCCTGGTGCAGGTTGAGTCCGAGTACCTCCCCCTGTACAGTAATTATGGCATTGGTCTGACCACATGGAGTCCACTTGCTTCTGGAGTGTTAACAGGAAAGTATTCCTCTGGAAACATTCCACCTGATAGTAGATTTGCACTGGAAAATTACAAGGTATGACTACAGAGTATTTTAGTTAATCCTTTGGAAGATTTGACCTAGTTTTATTTTGCAATTTGCATTATCATTTTTTGAGGATTGAGAATGCCTAAACTTAGTTCAAAATTTGTTTTTCATTCCTTATGCACGTTTTCATATTGTGGGTGAAACACAATTATCCTTTGTTAGTAAAACTTTCATTTGTTGAATTTTCACTAGCTGTCCTCTGATATGTAAGAAAGAGCAATCTCACTTTGACTATATCCTGCAGAATCTCGCCAACAGGTCATTAGTGGATGATGTATTGAAGAAAGTGAATGGATTGAAACCAATTGCCGATGAATTGGGTGTGAGTTTGGCTCAACTTTCAATTGCGTGGTGTGCTGCAAATCCTAATGTTTCATCTGTTATTACTGGCTCCACCAAAGTATCTCAGGTCTGCCTACTCTCTTGAGTTTGCTATGCCAGACATTTGTGTTTTTTATAACTTCTCTATCTGATTTTTCTTTTTCTTTGGCTGCTTTAGTTATTAGAAAGATTGATAAATTAAGAAAAGGCTTTTGTCTAGCCAAATAGGTCGAGGGACCCAAATATAATCCGAATCATTGAATAAAGATTTTCAGAAGGTTAGGTCTTGGCCCGCACCAATTGGGGATTTTAATCCGCTAGCACCGGTGGTGATGATAATAATAGTAAAACTATTTTTTCTTTTTCTCTTTGGAATAGTAGTAAAACTATTTTTTTTGGAATAGTAATAAAACTATACTTATATGTATATATATATATATATATTTTTGAATAGTTAGTAAAACTATTTCTTTGTTGTTGAATAGTAGTGAAACTACTTTGCTCCATATTTAATGCATAAAATAGGAGGAAAAGTTTGTGAGACTTACTTGTATTTGGGCCGAAGCCTGCACTGTTTAGAATTCCAAAATGCTGGAGAGATATCCGATGGGGCCTGGTCCATAGAGAATCCAGTGTTATAATAGTCGGCCCATATTTCATCAGCCCATTACCTTATTTTAGACGCTGGCAGCTCCCAGATCATGTCCCATCCGCAGGGGAGATCCGATCCAGACGAGCAAAAAACGAAAGGGGCTCTGCTCCCAATATTCGAGGCCGCCTTTAGCCGACGAGGCGGTGGACGCCGAGGAATCTTCGGCTGGCAAGTACTGAGGATAGGTCGAGGTGAGACCCTTATGCTTCTGGGATGAGGGCGGAGCAGTCGAGGCCTGCTGCAACTGCCCGGCCGAGGATCCTGTTGGGAATTATACCGGTGGCGGACCGTGGGTGCGGCCTTGATTACGTCCGGACGAAGGTCCTGTATGGCCGAGGTGACCCAGAGTTCCTGATTTGGCTTAGGTGAAGCTCCGCCGAGGTGCTGTTAGCGCCGGCCGACGGGTGCCGGCCGATGGGTGCCGGCCGATGGGTGCTGGCCGATGGGTGCCGGCCGATGGTTGCCGGCCGATGGGTGATGGCCGATGATGTGCTAGCCGATGTGGTGGCCGTCGTGTACACTAGGTGTTATCCTCATCAATCACGCCAGTGTGAGTGACCCCGGGTTTGGACGAGGGGCCAGTTGTTTAATTCAATTGTTTGGCCGATGGTGTGCACCGGTGTCGTACATTGGCCGATGCGGTATGGCCGATGCACTGGCCGAAGTGGCTGCTTGGGGAAGTGGCCCTGTTTTTGACGATGCGGTCCCGGACGATACGGTTCGGACGACGCGTGCTGGCCGATGCGTGTCGGTAAGTGTGTTCATGGGTTGCTTTCCTGGTTGTTCGGCCGAAGGCGTGCACCGGCTTTTCTGCAGTTAACTTGGGCGAAGCTTGCCCGTTTTCTGTTGGTGCTATACTGCTATGTTCTGGCCAAAGTGTTCTGGCCGATGCGGCATTGTGTCCGGTGGGTGCCGGCCGATGATGTCACCGGCCGATGGGTGTCGGCCGATGCGGACGGGCGGACGTTTGCTGGCCGGTGGTGCATTGCAGGCCGTTGGTGTTGCTGGCAGGTGGTGTTGACGACCGATACAGTTGCTGGCCGATGGGTTTTTGCTGGCGGCCGAAGTAGGTGGTGCGGAGCTCTATCTGGCTATTTCTGCCAAGTTAGAGGAGAGAGCCGGTGGAGTCCGCTGCACTCCATCCTATTGTTCTAGTATGTTGGGAGGACCGTCCAGCGTGCAAGTGGTCTGGCCGATGTGCAGCAACTACGGCCCAGGCTGCTATTCCTTTTCTTTTGAATGTACGTAGTACATTATAGATGACAAGAGGGGATGACTCTTTCCCCAACCGAAGGCATACTTTGTCTCATTTAGCTGAGGTGTCCATTTTTTTTGAGAATACGGGAGCTATGGTGACATATGGCCGAAGGACCAATTTGCTCCTAATTTTATTGGAGGTGTAGTGGGTGGGAGGATCTCACTTGATATATTCTAGCTCTCAATGAAAGCACCAAATGATGGATTATTTAATCTAGAGAGAAGGGAGAGCTAGAGAGATAAAGTGATATGTGTATAATGAATTTCCAATCAACCATCCAATCCTTTACATGGCTCCCATAGGGAGTATTTATAGGAGAAAAGAGGGCTGGGCTTCCAGGCTTGGGCCTGGCTAGCCCAGTTACAATAAAAGGCTAATAAATGGCTAATAAATGGTATCTAATCTATTCTAATGGATATACACGAATAAAATAGAGTGTACAATGAGATAAATGCTATCTACTGAGCGTATGTGGGCCGCTGTCCGGGCCCAATAGTCGTGAGACCCGGGGGTCCGAGTCTATATACTCTATCAACATTGATTTAAAAGGGGTTGGCTTGCTAGTCTTTTTTGTAATTAATTAATTTTAGTCTTTACGGTAACCACTTAATATGACCAAAAATCATACCTAAATTGCCCTAAATAGGAGTAAAAGCAATGTGAAATTCAAAAATAGTACTGTGTTTTTTCCTAATTAGTTCCAATTTAGGATAAAATCTAGCACTCATATTTTAAAATTCAACATTGTTTATACTCATTTTTTGGGAGAATTCCCAAAATCTTATGATGAGTTATCATGTATGTTTTACGGAAACGTGGGAACAAGGGGAAACGTGAAATGGGAAACACCATCTTGTAATAGAAAAACAATTGTTTAGAGAGTTTCCAAAGAATTATAATAGAGTTTTTGAAACATAAATGTACTCTTTCATGAGAGTTTCCATGCTTCATAGATTATCATAAAGAGCATGTTTATCAGTATTCAGTATTATACTACTCCGTATTATACTAATTTATTATCTATGGTAACCAAAAGAAATGTGAGTGTCCTTTTCAACTATTATAAATGGGTATAAATAGTGTTGTTAATACCGGATAGTGGAGGTATCTGTCAGCCTTGAAAACGCTATAACGGTATAGTGGATAGTGGGATGACCTCTATTCTTGGAACTTATCCATAATATATAAATATATAAATATATTACATATGCAATTATAAACTATACAAATACCAAATCTGCAATTTTATAAAATGATAAACAATGGCTGAAGTTGTCAGAAGTCACATAGGTCGCTGGAGGTCACAACTTGAGGGAGGCGGAGGGTCGAAGATGTGGGTGGCATATTGCTACACAAGAAAACTTACTTAGCATTAAAACAAAGAATGGTTTCAGAGGGGATTCAAGGATTCAAAAGGGTTGTATTTTACTCAAAAGCTGAATTTGACCCCCTCCTTGCCCAAAGGAATAATCTTAAATCCAAAATTATCACACAATAAAACCATAATCCTAAGTCAGCAGAGAGATGAAAACCAGAGGTGTAGGTGGGCAATATTTCTCCCTCTACTGTTCACACGATTCCTGCTATTGCCAACCATCCCACAATAAAGAATCCTATAGTGGCTAGGTGCCACTCCGCTCTAGCACGCTATTAACATAACGGGTATGACAGATAATTACAGTCTTGATACCTAAATTTAGGCCACCGATGAAATCAATACCCTGTGTCCGTCGAGCTAAAATAGATGTTATTGTGGGTTGTTTCAAATGTCATCACTCAAGTGATATATATTGTTCAGTCCGTCTAAAATATTCGAACGTTTTTGCCTAAAAGTTTGAAGGTAAGCAAGTATCATTTCTTGTCTATGTCCCCTTACCGCTTGATGTCTGCCCTCATTTCCTTTGTGCATCTCTTGCACACCAGAAACATCTTCTGCTACTTCTGTCATGGTCAAGAAGTCCCACCACCCACAGCCACATCTTCCTCTTCCACGACTGTTACCCGATGAAAGCATTTTAATTGCATAGAAGGATTTGAAGAGATGGTGGGGCATCAGCTTGTCAGTCCCTATGTCCAATAGTATGAAGACTCCGACGGCTTCTTTGGGATTTTATTTATTAGACATATCTCTCGGTGTCAAACTTCAGAGTGATTGGAGCATTATGTTATTGTAATGTGCCTGCCTCTGAAACCGAAGTAAAAGTTCCATCGGACCATCTTAGCATATGTATAAACTATGAAATTGTTGGACTTATAAAGATAGAGGAAATGAAGAAGATGATTACAGTGGTAATGCTTATGTTAAGATGGATGTGTGTTAGACAGGTAGATGCAAGTCTTTGAAAGACAAAATTTGCCCCCAAGGGGAGTCGGCATGCCTCATGAGGCATAAGAACGGAGAGGAAGCGAAGCATAAGCTCAGAATTATGTAAATAAAATAATAAAAGTATGTGAAAATAATCAGATAGATAGTTCACAGTAATAACACAATGGCATAAGAACATGAAGTCCTGAAACAGCATGTTTAATATTGTTCCAAAAGGACAAAAAACAAGTCAATATGAAATAAAAGGGCAAATTGCCATTCCTTGACAAAGTGTATTTGGCGCAATTAACTGAAAAGACAATTTTTTATTTTTAGTTATTGTTAGCTTTTAGTGACTGAAAATATCTTTAAAGGAAGAGATTGTAACTATGAGATAAAAAGTGGTTGTTTGATGTGGTCCTGTTTGGTATAACAAATTGTTGTGATTAGTTAATGTTAAAAGCAACAAACGTTCTCTCAGAAGTTCTACAAAGTAACTTCTCAAAAAATATCTTAGTTTTTTTAAACAGCTCGCAAAAAGTGTTGTAGCATACATACAACTAAGAGTTTTTAGATACATTAAATAGGGGTTTAATGCACCAAATCCCCCTGTGATTTGGAAATTCGGCGCATTAGCCCCCTGTGATTTAAAAAATGCGTCAAACCCCCTTGTGTTTTAATTAATCATGTGCCAAATCCCTTATGTGAACAAATTCAATTGTCAAATAAAAGAAAAATGATTAACATTTTTGTATGATTCAGAGATTTTGACATATTTATTTGCATATTCAATCAAAATATTAGGAAAAGTGATTTTCAAATCTTTAAATTTATTCATAAAGGGGGTTTTGTGCATGCTTAATTAAAACACAAGGGGGTTTGACGCATTTTTTAAATCACAGGGGGCTAATGCGCCGAATTTCCAAATCACAAGGGGGTTTGGTGCATTAAACCCCATTAAATAGTGCAAAATCTATAAGGTTTCTACTTATGCCTGCCAATTACCAAACATACACACAAACTAAAAACATATTTTAGACGTAGACTCTAAAGCCAAATTACTAAACTTCAAAATTATAGGATTATACATTGTGTCATTAACCAAAGATGCCAGTGGCTAGTGGGGGTTGCTTAGTTCGGGTGAATGGCTGAATGCTGTGCTCTGTGGATGGAGTGATGTGTAGCCCATAGTCACATGGTTCACGGTACGATTCGATACGGGAACGAGGAACGGGAACGCGGTTCGCTAGATCTAGCGTATCCGATTCGCAGGGGGGTAGGTTCATTTCGGTATGCGTTCGGTACGATGTACCATATGTTCGGTACGCTGTAGCTAATATTTTGGTACTACAATAAAAATATAAAACTGAATTATAGATTATAGAATACAGATTTCAACATTGAACAAAAACAGACTTCATAACATGATTTCATAACATTAAATGAAAGCAAAAACATTAGTGCAGGGAATAACAAAAGCAAAAACCAGAAGCAGACCCAAAGACCAATTTGAATGACTAGAAGAAAGACCAAAAGAGCAGGTACAGGCTGAGGAAAGTGGTCTATATTCTATAAAGTCCGAAACAAGAGTGCAGGGTTCGATAATAAAACTTCGTACGCTGTTTACACACAGGAAACGAAATGAAGAGTTGTAGACCTTAATTTGAAATACGGGAAGTGACGATTGAAATCTGGGAAACGATTAGAAAAGAGGTTTTGTAGTTGTGCGACGAAGGGAAACGGCGAATAAAATCGCTGCCAACATCGATTGGGGTCGATTTCAGGAACGATTGGGGTCGACTCTGAACAGCGACTGGGTACGACTCCAAGACCGTACCACATAGCGTTCCAGCAAGCGATCAGATCGTTTTCGTACCGCGATTCGGTACGGAACGATCGGTACGGAGATCGCGGGTACTGTAGCGATTTATGTATCTATGGTATAGCCTGAGGGTCCAGTGACAGTCATTTATGGACATGCATTTTACCATATCGAAGTTTGTTTATAGAGGTAGACTCTAAAACCAAATTACTAAACTTCAAAATTATAGGATTATACATTGTGTCATTAACCAAGGATGCCAGTGGCTAGTGGGGGGTTGCTTAGTTCGCGTGAATGGCTGAATGCTGTGCTCTGTGGATGGAGTGATGTATAGCCTGAGGGTCCAGTGCCAGTCATTTATGGACATGCATTTTACCATATCGAAGTTTGTTTTTTCTGTAACTAGCTGGTTCTCAGTGTATTTATCGTGTTGTTGTACCGGTTTATGCCGTGTCAAGATAGTTTACACTGACCAGCTATGCGCTGTAAGTTATTAATGATATTTCACAGGTGTAGTGACGGGTAGTGCTGATAGTGACCATTCAGCTATATGCTTATCCTTGAGTATCATCTTAGTAATATTTTAGGGAAAAACTCTTTTTTTGTAGCTCTTTAAGAGTCAAAGTTCATCGTTTAAAGCTTTTCATTATTTCTCTACTTAATGACATTATGCAATGTTATTTATGCAGATCCAAGAGAACATGAAGGCTATCGATCTCATTCCAAAGCTGGCACCTTTTATGGATAAGATCGAGTCTGTTGTTCAAAGCAAACCAAAGCGTCCAGATTCATATCGATAAGAAAAAAAAACGATTACCCTTGCCCTGGCTTTTTATCATAGCAATGTAGGGACTGTATATGCTGCGAACTGGATATCCTTACTCATACTGCCTTTGGCATTTTACTCTGAGATTTGCATTGACTTGAGTTGACTGTTGGGATTTTATAGGTCTGTACTTTGTAATTTGTATTCCGAACTGCTCCGCGCGCCACCTTTGTGGCTGGGCGCACCAACTTTTGGTCAAAGAAGGACAATTGTATCCTTAGTCAAATATTGCAGGCTTCCTAATTTTGCTCAGCGCACCCCTATTATCTTTACGTAAAACGGAGTACTACACTATCTAATTAATTAGAAGTATAGTTAGTTACGTTTTAGAAAGCAGCTTTTTAGGAAGGATTTTTTTAGGAAGCATCTTTTTTAAGGGATAATTTAAGCATCTTTAATTCGTATTGCTTTTTTTTAATGGGTTGTCTTGCTTCTTTAAAATAAAATTAACTAAGTTTTAATATTTCCTAAATTTTGTGTAACATGTTTTCAAAAAATAACTTAACTATCTTTGAAATATACTCAAATTCCTAATGTAATCAGGATTATACCTTCTAACTACCATCAAACAATTGCTATATAAATATTTGGAACCCATTATGAATGCTCTCATAAGTTTTTTACAATCTTCATATACAATGGAGGATGAATCAGAAAATTATCTAACAAACAGTATTCTTGAATTTCAGACTTATGAGGTATTCATCTGTCCCACTATCTATATCCAGCTTAGTTCTTCTTTTTTAATGTGTTTCATGAAGTATGTTATACACAATATTTGATAATATTTTTATTGTCAAATATATATATATATATATATATATATATATATATATATATTATTCATCTTTATAGTGAATAATATTGTATTCTTCTATTATCATCTAATTTGTAAAAACATCAAAAAGGCAATGAGTACTGCAAAATAACGGAAGTTTTTTCGGTTTGTCCAGGATAACGTAATTTGAAAAAAGGAGTCCTAATAAATAGGTCAACTTTTAGAACAAAACATTCTAAAAAACCATTCGGAAGTAGCCTTTTCAAACAATTTTTTTTTTAAACTTTTATTTTTATACATAGAGAAGCTAGAGACGTGGAGTACTTACAGCCTTGTTATTATTACTTTTAATCTAGAAATTGCTATAGCTATTTTCTTTGTATTCTAGTTTTTACAAAAACAAATATTACATTAAATAGCTTTTCATGATACAATTAAAAAAAGTTAAACCGTAAGAGGTGAACAATGATATCGAAGGTACCAATCTGCTCTTCTTTGGCAGCAAATTGACCATCAACTCTCCACTCTAAAATGTTGGCCGGCGGCCTCAAGTAAAAAAGAAAAATTAAAAAATGTAACAGGTGGAATCCATAATTTCAAATGTATACAAAGTATTACGTATAAATTTTTGAAGAGTTGTGCTTCTGGCCATGGAAGACAATGGAGCTCTAGGCTTTGGTCTCAATCCTGTATATAATTGAATTTAGAATGTTACTTTAATACTACCCCGTCATGTTGAAAGATTGTCATGAAAAAAGGCACAGTTATCTAGACAATAATTAAAATAATTTAGTCTGAATATCTTTTGAGAAATAATTTTAATAGGTATATAAATGTATTTTGGTTGTAATACATGTATCTCATATTATTTGCTTTTATAAAAATATGATATTTGCAGGATGATAGTGACGTGTACGTCGACCTTATTTTTCATGATGATAGCTCAACTTTTGTCGAAGAAGAAGTGAATTTTGAACCTTCAATTGTTGAAGAAGCACAACCATTCACTTCACATGATTTTTCAGAAGACTTCCAAACTCATAAAACTTGGGCGGATCGGGAGTCTATGATTGATTGGGCTAGAGTTGAGGCCCATAAGAGAAACATGGTCTTAACTATTGCAAAATCGAGGCCAAGTAATTTTAAAAAGCTTGGTAATGTCCTTCTTGCATGTGAAAAATTCGGGAAGTATCGAGCTGCAAAAAAAGTCAATGCTCCAGGGGTGCAACAAGATAAAGGAAAGAAAGCTACAAGAACAAAAAAAAAGCGATTGCCCTTTTGCATTATATGGCCTGGGAGTGAAGTTGAGCGTAATTTATGGCGATTGCAGGTTAATTGTGGATTTCACAATCATGCTATTCCAACGAGCTTAGTGGGTCACGCATTTGCTGGTAAATTGACAAAGCAAGAGATTTCTTTGGTGAGAGACTTATCCGAGGCGGGTTGCAAGCCTAAGCCCATTCTCCAAAGTTTAAAACTCGCGAACTCTGGAAATGTTACATCTAGAAAGCAGGTTTACAACGCAAGATGCAAGCTTAAGAAGCAATGGATGGACGGACGCACAGTCATGCAACAATTACTTCATTTGATTTCAAAGTATGATTACTTTGAGGCCAATAGATTAGTGCCAGGGAGTAAAGATTTACATGACATGATATTCACGCATCGAGATTCACTAAAATTATTGCGTCTTTTTCCTTATGTTCTCATCATGGACACAACATACAAGACAAATAGGTAAAATATTTTGTTTTAAATATTTTGTTTTAAGTTATAACTATAGAAATTACCCCAAATAAGAGTAAAACTAGGGTAAAAATAAAAAAACATGATTTCTTATATTTTTATTTCAAAATAGGACCATATTACTCCTATTTGAAAACATACGTATTTTTCATTCCATTCTTTTCACTCCTTTATATAGGAGTAAAAAGTAGTCAAGAGTCATAATTAATAATAAAATAAAATAATAATTATAAAAAATCGTAGAAAAATAATAAAAAATTTATAAAATATTTTTAATATTTTTTTAAATTTTATTATTGTTTAAAAATATTTTTATTATGATTTTTTTATATTTTTTATGATTTTTAAATCGTATTTTTTATGATTTTAAAAAAACCGTATTTTTCATAAAATAACGTATTTTTTATGATTTTTAAAAATATTAATTTTGTATAATTTTTTTTTATGTTTTTTTATAATTTATCATGATTTCATTATGAATTAAAACATTCCAACAGTTATAAGGTTATATTTGTTCAAACAGACATAATTAGTCCTACTAGTGAGTTAAAAAAACAATATAGTCCTATTTGTGATTATTGACTATCTTCTACTCCTATTTAGGTAATTAACGCTTATATATAACTATTCATTGAAGCAAAGTGATATACATTATTACATGTAATATACTTGATTAATTATACCAGGTACAAGATGCCTTTTCTGGAAATAGTGGGATTCACAAGTACATTGAAGACATTCTCTGTTGCATTTGCGTGGATGGGAGCTGAAAGTGCAGAGCACTACATTTGGGTTTTAAATGAGTTAAAGCTAATATGTCCTTGTTCCCCATTAGCGATTGTGACTGACCGAGAGTTAGGTTTGATAAAAGCACTCAGTGAAGTTTTCCCAGAATCTAAGCATATATTGTGCATTGTACATGTCAAGCGTAACATAGAAGATAAAGCTTTAAAATTGAGCAACAAGAAGACGGTCCAAGAATCCTTTTCAAAAGGATGCATGAAGCTATTTAGTTCAACCACTGCCGATCAATATGAGGAGCAATTAAAATATATGAGCTCGAAATGGAAGAAAAGTTGGGGCCTTATGAAATATCTTACTGAAAATTGGTTGGACCCTTACAAAGATCGTTTGGTGAGAGTGTGGACGGACCATGTCACACATTTTGGCACAAGGACTACTAACAGGTAAATAAATATATTTATAAAGAATTATGAATAATTTCTTTGATTTTACTTCATTAACTTTGTGTTGTAGGGTGGAATCTGCACATGCAACGTTAAAGCGACAATTAGCCTCATCCATTAAGGGTTTGACAATGTTTTTGCTGAGATAAACAACTTGCTGAATAATCAATTGGATGAAGTGAGGAGATCTTTAGAATTGTCACGTTGCACCATTCCAACGGTATTGCATAAGATTCCAATACTTAGCCAGCTTCAACACATGGTGTCAAATGAGTGCATGAATAAGTTAATAAAGATGCATGATGAGGTCATAGAAGGAAATTACGATCCAATATGCAACGATTATTGGTGGAGGGAATGTTATGGTTTACCATGTCCACATGAGCTAGCATCTTGTATTCGCGATAATCGTCCACTACATCCATCAATGGTACATAAATTTTGGAGAAGAGTTGAATGGGATGTAAATAAGGAACAAGACAATGACAAGGCCGATGATATAAGTGTTGATGATGTGGTCCTAAAAACCATAGTTGATGAGTTTCAATCAGCACAAGAAAAAAAAAGACTTCATGCAAAATGGAATGAGATGAGAAATCCAAAACTTAATACTATGAAAGAGCCATCGATTCATGTAACGAAGGGAAGGCCAAAAAAAAATCAACCACTCGAGACCCAAGCGCGTGGGAGTACACTGAGAAGAAATACAAAAAATCCAAGGCTACAATTTCACGTCATGGGTCTCGTGGACGTGGCAAGGATATTAAAGGGAATAAAAATGGAATGCAATTTAATTTCGGTAATGATGTTGAGACATTCATGCTTGAGCATATTAGTAAAGTTGTGGACGTTATTGGAGATGGACATTGCGGGTATCGCTCACTTGCAGAGCTTTTAGGATGGGGAGAAAAAGAATGGGTTAGAGTTCGAAGGGAGTTAGTGGAAGAACTAGATCGTCATCGTGGGCTGTATGATCCTATATGCCTTCTTGACACTATTGATGAGTTGCGGGAGCAAATAGACTACTACACCAGTCCTGCACCACCCCGACATTGGATACACATGCCGCACTCCGGGTTAATCTTTGCAACATTATACCAGGTTATTTTAGTGCATCTTGACCTCCACGAACCAGTCACTTGTTTGCCCATGATCGCTCCCCCGGGTAGTAGTCCTCCGAAGAATTTTTTTTGCATTGCCCGGCTTCATTCCCAACAACACTACATAGCTGTAAGCAAACAATAATTTATAGTTCCATTTTTTTCACATTACCTTTTTTATTTTCACATTACCATATGATATGCATAAAATGAAAACTTGTGTTGATGCACAGGTTTGGCTTGACGACAATGCTCCGTTGCCATCAGTGATTACGACATGGTCTTATTATCACGACGCTAGTGTTGCAGGATGGGATACTCCACTTCTTCATCGAATTAAACAATTTACAGAATGTCGTAATGCTATAAGAGACCCTGTTCCAATTGTATTGGATGATTGATATAAACCTAATATATTATAAAAACAAAAATGTTTTGTTTTTTACTTTGCGCAATTCTATATTAGATTTTTTTGGGAGTTCTATATTAGATTATAGATTTGAATAAGTGACATTTTTAATTCTAGTAAACAAATTATCTCTAATTTTTTATTTGTTTGCCTAATTTCAAAGGTGGAGGGCCCCGCCTTTTAAAACTCCGTCAGCACCATGTTACATGACTAGATATATGACGTCAATGATATTTAGGATGTTTTTAATTGAACTTATTTCGAACCACATAGATTCAAACAAATAGGATCAGATCTGACTAGAATTTACCATATTTTTTAAAAAAAATTACATATATGATATGGGTGTCATATGAAAGATCATAAAAAAATATTTAATTTGGTATAATTTTTATAAAAATCGGAGCAAAAATGAAAAAGTTATGACATTTTATAAAAAAAGGAATCACTTGCCACATGGCATCATTGTATTGGATGTACGTTTAATGTAAAATAGTAAGAACATGATAGAGCCGAGCGAGCATGGAGCCATGGAGAGGGTGCGCGAAGCATTTTTTATTTACATTTAGTTGTAGTTTGGGAATCAAGGTTAGGGTAGTTTGGGAATGGAAAAAATGTTGGTGGACTCACATTGCTTAATTGGTTTGCACATTAAGCTCTGCCACTTATACTTTTTATTAAAATGTTGAACTTTCCGTTTTATATCCGTCTTCCGCCGTTTCCGTCTATTTGGCACTAAGGGTTTCTCCCTTGGTATCGACCAGGTCCTTTGATTTCTTTCGTAATTAATGTTCCAATTATGATTCTATTCTCCTCCCAATATAGTTTGGAGGAAAGCTTTGTCTATTCAAACTCTTTTGCTTTGGTAATTATGGTTGGAGGAAAGCTTATTATTGTAGGCTTTTCGTCTGGGCACTGTAAGCCGCTTACCTCCTTACCTGTAACCCATTTAGAATGATAGAGTCGTGATATGTTTTCTACCAATCCACATCGGCACACTGCTTCGTCAATTCACCTCAGCGACAACTTCAAGTTATCCAGGAAAATTGTCCGCCTACTACTTTATATATCTTCAAAAATTCATCAAATCGTATCAGCTTATCACTGGTTTTCATCGCTCAGTATCACCAGGTTACGTTTTTCCCATGAAGTGCTCTGTTGCTTTGTTTTTCTATCTTAAAAATATAGCATGCATGTTTCCTTGAAAAATCAGTTTGGTTTTAATATGCAGATCTCATTTATACGTCTTTTTTGAGGGGATGAGGAATACCTCATTTGGAGGACTTTTTGATTTTGTTTTGTTTTAATTGGAGGAAATATATTCTTCCACTATGAATTACACAAGGTGTTAGTGAATTTGTCTAGCTAGAGTATTTGTGTTTTTTGTGGTTGGTTGGCTCAATTCTATTGAAAGAGTATGTGTAGTTTAATTTGGAAGATAATGGAAGCATGGTTCACGATAAATATGAGCATCACCTTAAATAATCAAACAAGACATGATCCCCCCCAGGTTGAGACAGTTAGGAGTGGAATTTGTAATAGACATGATCGTTAGATGCTAGATTTTGAGATTGGCTACTATGAATGCTTTCATATACAGTTTAGGATAAGGTTTGAATCTGAAATTGCGACTATAAGTAAATCTTCACCCAAACTAATTCAATATAATGGAATTGTCTCTTCCCAGATTTTGTTTAGGAATTCTCCCGTATAAACTCCAACAGTCGTAGCTATTTGCCTATTTGGTAGGAGATAAATCCTGGGACAACCCATGTTAGTGAGATGATATAAGTTTGTAATTTTCCGCAGAGGTGCTGGGCAATTACGAGAGATAGAAATTATCATAACGTGTGTATCTATTTATACCCAATGAAGAATGCAATGAAGTTTGTATAGTTTTATTTCAAGCAAAAAGCAATCAACCACCCATATTCTTATTTTATGAGATTGGTTCCATGCACTTTACTATCTATCTCATTGCTTTTGAAAATTCGTTGTCTCTTTCACTACAATATAAGTATTAATTCTCAGTTCATCTACTTTTTTTGGGCTGAATAGTTAAAAAATTAAAATGATCAATGTCCACTTTATTGCATGTCTTTCCGATTTGTTTTCTCACTCTCTTGTATGTGCAAATATATGACACTGTGCAGCCGTGCAGGCAGAAAACACTCTGTAAACACGCTGAATGCAGCAAGTGCAAGTCGGTCCAAGAGCAATTTTGTGGAGATTGCCTGTACACGAGGTTATTAAAAAAACTATCTCCTTCTCTTTCTGAAACAACTTTTTTGTGAAGCTGTGCTGGTTTTATTTACCATGTAAGGAAATGTTAATATACAAAGGATTAAAGTAGCAATCTATTAAATGCATAATAACAAATAATGCGTCTATACAGAGTAGATTAAGCTATTGTAATTTAATCCCTCCACACCCTTTTAATTTGGCCTCTTTCCTTTTCGGTATTCTGATTTTCTCTCTCTGTTTACTACGTAGTATTTCCTTAATAGCTAAAATCAAAATAATGAAAACTAGAAAAAGTTGTTTTTCATTTGGTGTGTGGGAAGTTTAGCATGATAAGTATAAGTATTCTCTTTTGAAAAATTATAATGCCATCTCATATAAACTGCATAACAGAATTCTAACACACAATAAGTTAATTGGCGCTTCCAAGCAGAGGTATAATGTTCATCCACGACCTCATTATATATGATTCCCAAGTTCTGGCTTACTTGTATTATTGCTTCCAATTCATTCTACTCCCTCCTTGTGTAGGTATGGGGAAAATGTGATCGAAGCAAACAAAAATCCAAACTGGACTTGACCTATCTGCCGCGATATATGCAACTGTAGTCGCTGCAGACGTCGAAAAGGATGGGTTCCCATTGTTGTAGTTTATAACAAGGTAATCTTTTGTTTTTTTGGAAATATCCTTTGTTCCATCACGCTCCACTCTCCAGTATGGTAATGGAGATAGATTTGGCCTATATTCTAATATAAACTGAATTTTCAGGTCCTGCAAATTGGTTATAAATCCGTGGCACATTATCTTATTTTAACCCATTTGCAAAATGAGAAGGGAGACGAAAGGAACATTGAAATAGAAGTTCTTGACAGTTTTTTGGTGCATACAGAAAAACATCTATAAATGTCGAATATATAAAACTAAAAAGGAGTTTCAGGCCGGATAAATTATTTTTAGCTTTGAAAAATTAGACTGTAAAATTTCTTACTAATCAAATCAACTAATTAAGTAGTGACTGTTTAGAGATCAATTCCGCCAAAGTATTCTCAGTATGTTTTTTTTTTAAGTATTCTCAGTATGTATTCCAAATAAAATTATTTCGTGATGTTTTGGGTCTCATGATGATATGTTCTTCTGTTATAATATGTTCTCTATTTCCATACTTCATTTTTAGCTGTTTAGTATTCTGGTTATTAAATCTAATCATATGCTTTTGTCCTAAATCAAGTATGCTTTATGTTTGAAACAGGATTACGAGAAAGGCTGGCCAGATTTAAATGATCTCTGCTTCGGTTTTTTAATCTTGAAATATAGTTTTAGGTTTAGCTATACATGTCATATGATTTTATTCTATGGGTTTTTTTTTGTACTGTCTCTTCTTACTTCAAACTTTATTTGAATTTCATACCAAACTCTATAAAAGTATATAATATTGGGCATTTTTACCCAATCGCGCAACGCGCGTACAAAAACTAGTAATAATTAAGAAGGCTAAATTTGTCTGTCCTTAGTTACCTTAAGCAATTCATGGGGTGCGCGAAGCAACACCCTTTGTATTACTCTTTGGCTTGTTTTTGTGGATTTGTACCAGAACCGTCACGATGCTTTACCCTAGCCTTTCTGGGTTTACCATCAGTCTGGCCTCAGTTCTTGGTAGGGCTGGACTCGGGCCGGCAGTTCTGGAATGGGGGGCCCGGAACCGGCCTGGGTAATCCCCGGTTCCGGGCCGGGCCTCGGGCTTTGTTAATTAATTTTTCCTTTTCCTAGTTAACCCCCAACCCCCCACCCCCCCCACCCCCAAACCACCCCAAACCACCCAAAACACCCAGCCCAACCCGAAAAGTAAAAAAAAAAATTGAAAAAAAAAATTAAAAAGGCTCGGAACCGGGCCTGAACCGGCTGGGCTGGTTCATGATTCGGGGGACCCGAGCCCGGACCGGAACCCTCGCGGGTCGGGCCTACCCGGACCGGTCACTGACCGGGCCGGGCCGGGACGGAATAGTGCTGGTTCCAGGTCGGACCACACGGCCCGAGTCCATGCCTAGTTCTTGGTTGGTTTCACACCTCATTATGTAATTTGGTTTTGTTCATACTGACTTGAAATTGAATCGGATTAAAATGTATTAATTAATCTGATTCAAAATTAAATTAATTGCCTGTACTATATTAGGGATGGACCCGGTTCGGGCCGTGAACCGGCCGGGCCTCGGTTCAAGGTTTGGGAGGCTCGGAACCGGTCCGGGTAAACCCGGGTCCGGTTCGGGCTGGGTCACCCGCCCGGTTCACGGGCCGGGCCGCCCGCCGGGCCGGGCCTAATATTTTTTTTTAAAAAAATTATATATTATATTATTATAATAATTCTTATTAAAAAAAATTCAAGTGCATTTATTTGAAATAGGAAGTACATTTGAAAATTGAGAAAACAATAACAATATGAAATACATTTTCTAATAAATATCAATTGGGATTTCTGCCATTGTTGGTTGTTGTTTTGCCTTTGTCATATGACTTCATATGTTTTATTGGCATCCGACTCCGTGTGAACGCCCCAAGCAACACTCTTTCTTGCACCACTTGCAAGTTGCCCACCACAGTTTGGTCTTCGGGCCCTTCCACTTATCAAAATTGTTTTGCATAACAGAAGATAATAAGTAGATAATTAATATATAAGTAGATATAATAATTATATAAATTATATATATGTAGA